ATATATATATATATATATATATATATATATATATATATATATATATATATATATATATATGATGCTTGCCCTTCTAGGAAGTAAGGACTATGAAAAGACTGTTACCAGGGTTAAAGTGAGAAACTGTCATTCTATGGAAATACAGTAGGGTTTTGAAGCAAAATTTGGGCAACAGACTCTTGAAAAATTTAGGCAGTATTTGTTTTTTAATTATTATTATTGCTGTTGTTACTATTATTATTACAATTTATTCACTTTATTTTCTGGTTGTAGCCTCCTCCCTCATCTCCTCCTTGCCCCTGCCTCCTTCTCTCTTCCTCAACTATTCCTCTCCCCTAGTTCCCTGAGAAGGGAAATTATCCTCCCCTACTGTCTCACTTTAGCCTATCAGGTCCCATTAGGCCTGCCAGAATCCTCTTCCTCTCTAGGCTGGCTAGATGGCCTCACCAGGAGGAAGTGATGAAAGGGTAAGAAATGGAGTACATGTCAAAGACTACCCCTGCTCTCCTTACTAGAGCAACTACATAGAGACTGAGATGTCTATGGGATACATCTGAGCAGGGGGTCTAGGTCCTCTCTATGTATGGTCTTTTGTTGATCCATCAGTCTCAGCAGTCACCCCTGGGCCCAGCTTTTTTGGCTCCGTTGTTCTTCTTGTGGGGCTCCTGTCCCCTCTGGGTCCTTCTATCCCCCCACTCTTCCATAAGAATCCTTGTGCTCTGCCTAAAGTTTTGATGCGAGTCTCAACATCTATTTTAATCCCTTGCTTGGTGGAGTCTTTTAGAGGACATCTGTGGTAGTTTCCCATCAAAATCCAGCTATACCATTCCTGGGCATATATCTGAAGATGCTCAACCATACAACAAGGGCATTTGTTCAGCTATGATCATAGCAACTGGATGCATAATAACCAAAAATCTGGAAACAACCTAGATGTCCCTCAGCAAAGAATGGATACAGAAGTTGTGGTATATTTACACAATCAAATACTACTCTGCAATTAAAAACAAGGAAATAATGAAATTTTCAGGTAAATGGATGGAACTAGCAAAGATCATCCTGAGTGAGATAACCCAAAGCAGAAAGACATGCATGGCATATACTCACTCATAAGTGGATATTAAACATATTAAAATCTATAGCTGTAAAGAAGTTAAACAACAAGTAACACCCTAGGGAAGATGCTTAATTCTCATTCAAAAGAGAAAACAGGATAGACACTGGAAATGGGAGAAGGGAGGGAACAGGATGGGAAACTTAGGCAGTATTTGTAAGTGATCATGGGTCTCTGAAAAAATTAGGCACTAGACACTGCAATGACATAGAAGTGTGTTTAGGCAGGATGTAAATGATCTGATAGAAGAAGAGTCTCTAATTGTGGATGGGAGGGAGATAAATGCAGAAGAAGGAAGGGGTATAAAATTATAGTAGGAATGTCTGAAAAAGTTCCAAGGAATCATACTATTATTTATCTACCTAAAATTTTTAATACACATAAGTCTGTGTATGAATACACACATGTATCATTTAAATGAAAAAAAAATCTTACCTGGGCTGACAATTCTCTCTTTAAGAGACAAAGACTGCCTAACTAAAGCTCCAGCACCAGTCGTGTGAAACCATCTTTTCAGTTGCTTGCCAGGGTTGTCTAAGAGATTCACCAAACAATAAGGAATATTACTGTTGCCCTGGGTTGTCCCCACCAGAAGTAAAATGTAAGTCCCTATTGCTAAAGACACCAAACACTTCAAGCAAAGGGCACAGAGGTCCCAGATCTGGAAATGACTTAAAAAGTCTCCTCTCTGAGAATTAGCTTTCATGGTAGTTAGAAGAATATATTCAAGCTTACAAAGAAGGGAAGCCATACCACTCCTAGGCATATATCCAAAAGAGGCTCAAGTACACAATAAGGACATTTGATCAACCATGTTTGTAGCAGATTTATTTGTAATAGCCAGAAGCTGGAAACAACCCAAATGCCCCTCAACTGAAGAATGGATGCAGAAACTGTGGTACATCTATACAATGGAGTATTACTCAGCAATGAAAAATAAGGAAATCATGAAATTTGCAGGTAAAAAGTGGGACCTGGAAAGGATCATCCTGAGTGAGCTGGCCCAGAAGCAGAAAGACACACACGGTATATACTCACTCATATAGATATAACATAGGATAAACCTACTAAAAACTGTACATCTAAAGAAACTAAGCAAGAGAGAGGACCCTGACTAAAACACTCAATCCCCACCCTGAAAGGCAAAGAGGTTGGACATCAGAAGAAGAAAACAGGAAACAACCTAGGAACCTGCTACAGGGCCTCTGAAGGCCTCTGCCCTGCAGACTATCAAAAAAGACGCTGAGACTTATAGCCAACTGTTGGGCAGAGTGCATGGAATTTTATGTAAGAAGTGGGAAATAGTAAGAGCTGGAGAGGACCGGAACCCCACAAGGAGAGCAACAGAACCAGAAAATTTGAACACAGGGAACTTCCCAGAGACTCATACCCCAACCAAGGACTATTCATAGAGATAACCTAGAACCCCTGCGCAGATGTAGCCCATGGCAGGTCAGTGTCCAAGTGGGTTACCTAGTAAAGGGAAGAGGGACTGCCTCTGACATAATCTGATTGGCCTGCTCGTTGATCACTTCCCCCTGAGAGGGGAGCAGCCTTACCAAGCCACAGAAGATGACAATGCAGCCACTTCTGATGAGAACTGATAGACTAAGATCAGAAGGAAGGAGAAGAGGACCTCCCCTAGCAGTGGACTTGGGAAGGGGCATGCATGAAGAAGGGGGAGGGTGGGTGGGATTGGGAAGGGAGGAGGGAGGGGCTTATGGGGGAATACAAAATGAATAAGATGTAATTAATAGTAAAAAAAATTTAAAAAGAATGATGGAAAAAAAAAAAAAGAAGGGAAGCATCCAACAGTCTTACCCAGCTATGATGTCTATGAACTTCAACAAAGACCAGAATGATATGATAGTGCTAAGGCTGCAGTAGTGGCTGACAAAATTTGGTGGTAACTAGCAGTACCTTACTTGGACTTAA